GCTGGAAAACCACTGGCTGGACAGTGCTTGCAGCCAGTTGTCCGCAAGCACTGTTCAGGTGTCCTGACTACTGTACAATGTACACAATGGGACATTCGTTGATCCATGCTGTTGGCGTGGATGGAGGAATCCTTTTTTTTTTTTTTTTTTTTCTTTTTCACTCTGCCTGACAATGAAAGAGGAAAAAATGACCTTGTGTACCCAGCTTTAATGTAGTCAGAGTCTCAACCTCTTGATCAATAATGAATCCAGATCAAACAAATATACATTGGCCAGCAAAGTATGTCTTTACACTTTTTATTTGCCCAAGCACTTGGTCATCAGGTTTCCAAATCGCTCCAACTCACTCAGCTTCCCTTAACTTTTTGTTCAGTACAAAAATCACAAGGAACAGAGCAGTCTCCAGCAGTTGTCCATGTATTAGCTTAGAGAAGGGTTGAGGGAGGAGCAGGGGACAAGAAAGTGCCTTGCCTTGTATGCGGAGATGCACACGGCTTACTAGCACACATAAGGGAGGCTCTGTAAAAGAGCCACACTAAACAGGATATTGGGGCCATTGCTCTGGAGACTAGGTGGCTCTGCAGAGAACGAAGACTTTGAAATTTCAAGAAGCCAAATCCATTGTAAGTTAATAAATTGGCATTTGAAAGTTTAACCACTTGCCGGCCGTTGTAAAAAACAGCCGTCCAGGAGCTCTCTAGATCTGAGTGGGCGTCTTTAGATGTCCGCTCAGCCACGCCCCCTCACGTGCGAGCGGGAAATGCCCAGCTTTTAAAAACGGGCAGCGATGCCTGTTAACATACAAGCGATCCGCCGGCTATAGAGCCGCCGGACCCCTTGTATGAGGTCCCGATACGTGCGCCCCCCCCCCCTCCGCTGGCCACGGGCTCTGCTGTGCCCGGTGCGAGCCCGGGACCAGCATAGTGCCACTCTGACGGGATCAGAGGGAGATCGGTACATGAACTCCCTCTGGTCCCCTCTCTGCTGTCGGAATGCAGAACTGATGTATATTACATCACTTACGCATTCTTGTGTCACTCTCCAGCTTCAGATGCTGGAGAGAAGCTTCATCAGCTTCAGGGGGGTCCTAGGTGACGGTCGCATTCAAAAAGGCATTGGGTGGGCATACGTGCGAAAACAACAATTGCGCCAATTACTCCGCACATGTTGCATATTGTCGCGAATGTCGGAATGAGAGCAATAATTCCAAGGCCGTCAATCACTGATAACACTAAACTGATGAGCGGTAAAAGCTTTTAAAGCGTCGCCTATGGTCAATTTTGGGTATGGTAGTTTTTTTGCGATTTCGCTAGTGCGCGCAATTTTAAAGCTTGACATGTTTGGTGTCTATTTACCTGACGTGACCCCAACTTTTATATTTTACCAAAAATATGGGTAATCATCGTTTCCTAATTTTTTTTTTTTCCCCAAAATTTTCAATAATTTTTCCTTTAATATAGTAAAAAATAAAACCCCCAGTAGTGATTAAATACCACCAAAAGAAATCTGTCACCAAAAATGGCCTGGCCAGGAAGGTGGGTCTAAACACCTGGTCTTGAAGTGGTTAAAAGCCACTTTAAACAAATCCATAGATTTGCATTCTAAGTGCATTAACCCTTCCCAGCCAATCAGAACTAGTACTAGATTATACAGAACCACCAGCTACCATACTGCTGTAATCGAGTGAGCAGATACAGGGGATATGACCAGATTAAAACATGCACATGGTTTTGGCTACAGACCAGGGGAATTTCAGGCTGGACATTTACTGCTCAAATCTTGGCCAAAATTGGAGCTCTGGGTGGCATTGTTGGCACGACTCCTTGCAGCTGAAGTCCATCTTTGGCTGTCTAAGGGGCCAGGCTGAAAATGATCATCCCAGCAGTTACTGCTGCCAGTGGGCTGTAGTCACTGTTACGGTTTTCTGATGGCTGACGGAATACAAAATCCCAGCTGAGTTGGGGTTTGGCACAGTGTATGGCCAGCTGTAGATGTGTAAGCCACTGCCAACTTTCCATCTTGATGGCTATCCACTTATGGGTCCCACATCTGTGGGTTAGAACGTGTTGGGGTGCAATCTGTACGCATGGCCATAGTGCAGATTACTGCTGCACTTTCTTTTTCAACCTGGTTGGCAGGGAATGCTGTGTGGTTGTAGTGAAATTCTACATTACTTTTCTTCATAGAAATGGCAAGAATTGGTACCAATAAATGCCAGGAAGATAGAAAATCTCTGCTCAGTTACACTTGGCAACTTGCTGATTATTGCTGTGTAGGAAAGTGCTGTACAACCTGATCTTTGCCCTTTTGTCACAGGCAGTGTTGAAATCGGGTGCATCACTTGCATGGATTGGGCTGTGTATGAGATATCCAAAAACAAATTGCAGTACCACATATGACCACCAGGTGGTGCTGTTTTGAGTTCACTGCTTGTTTTTTTTTTTTTTTTTGGACAGTTTACCTTCATATTGTGTAAATGTTAAAGCGGTACTCCATGGACATTGAAAAACACAGCTTAATCCACTTGTGTATTTGTTTAAAATAAATAAATGCAAAGCCAGCCAGATCCAACAGTAACAACTCTCCTGACAGTTTGGGTGTCTTGCTAAGGGCTGGCAGATGAGTTGACGCATGCTACTGCAGTCAGATACCCTAAACCGCTATACGGACGACTGCTGCACACAAACCTGACAGCGAGACTAGTACAACCTGTCATCCTTTGTTTTGGGTTACAATAAACAGCGGTCAAAGTAAAAAGCGGCTATCGGAACCAATAGTGGCCTGGGGCAGAATTGGTGTCTGTTTTGGTTTTGAAGTGGGTGTGTGATTTTCTCTGGATGGCTTCTAATTAATTGCTGGCAAGGGTGCATACTTGGTGACCAAGCTGGTGTTATGAGGAGCACTACAGTAGATCCCACTTCCTGAGGTGGCATCTAGAGGCTCTGTAGAGGCAGAGCCATCTTTGTCACATCTTCCCCTGTCTTTCCTTTCAATGAGTGCTGAAGGAACACTGAGGGGAGAGGGACTCCCTGTAGGGAGTAGTGATGGACAGGCACTGCTCTCTACATGAAGAAGACTGAGCTGAGCAATCAGCAGTTTGTAGTCACTCGGCTCTCAAGGGCTACCAACCATTGGGATTAGTATATTCTACTCTCCCAATAGTTCTCCTTTTATGGAGGGGGATGTAAACTCTTTGGTTTTGTGTGCCCACAAACAAGGTCCTTTTTTAGTACCCAAGGTAAAATGTGCGGAATAGGTTGTTGATTCCTTTTGGTCTCTACCCTACCACCACATTGTGCTGAAGGGTGACCACCTATTTTGCATGGCCCCATTCCACCACCTGACTACAGCGTCTGGTCCTTTTGCCAGAAATAAGCAAAAGTTGACACTGTTATTGACCGTGGTGCTAAACATGTATGTTAGTGGTAGAAACCCAATTGTTGCTAGCTACTAACTTTGTCTAAGGTGTGTGGGTTGTTTTTTTTTTTTAATTCTGACGGCAGCAGCTGTCGGAATACTAAAAAAAAAAAAAACAATCGCACTTGCAGATAGCAAATAAGCTATTGCTTCCTGTGCTACCTGCCATTTTCAGGGGGTGCTCTTGGGAGGGGGGTCAGAGGGCCCCTCCCCTGAGAAGACGTTTATATAGTATGGAACTATTGGCAGGAGTCTGCAGCATGCTCTAAAGCACTTTGAGGGACCTCAGCTTTACAGCATGGGGTCAGATAGTTGAGACCTCAGAATTGCATGTGTTGCTTTTATTAAAATTCAAATGGTGCAGCAAGCATTGAACTAAATATATTGCTCAATAGCCACAAGGGATACAAATCCACTTTGCAAACGTGGTTTTACATAACCTGAGCAGAGCTGTGGGAGGGACCCAGCAGGCCCCTCCCATTACAGGCTGCCTGCAGAAAGCTACAGGAAGGGGCGGATACAAGACCATTCACCCTGTATGAGGAGAGAGAACAGCAGGGAGTGGCCTTTATTACAGAAAGTTTCTGCAGAGGGAACATTTCACACTGGATTACTGCACAGATCTAGAAGATTCCAGTAACCATACACATGCCTCTTGTATTTAGACCATATTTGCTTATCCTGGAGTTCAGTTTTAATAAAATACAAATCGGTATGCAGTTGCATCCCAAATCCTTCTACTTTGCATGTCAGAAGCCATAAACGTACTTTGGCCCATTGTGGTCTGTACAGCAGACTAGTGCATGCACAGTACATTGCCCAGCTGGCATGGAAGACAGCAGGTAAACAAAACCGGAGTGCTGCAGGCCTGCCAACTGCTGGAATCAAATGTCTGATCTAAGGTCTTTTAATTACCTTGTGTGGTGGTGAAGGACTTCTTATTTCACATCCACATTAAGAAGAATTCCAGGAATTGGCTAACCTGTGTAGTGGGGCTACCCCCTGCACTGCATGGGTTAATTGCTAGATTTGGTCTGGGGTACAAAATACAGAAGAGATCCTCAGTTCTGCCTTGCTACTAAACTAGTCCCTGCAGCCTCTTCTCTCTGTGTACACACTTCAGCAATGGCTGGATGACATTTCTCCGGGTGGGTTTCTTGATGGTGACTGCAGTAAACCATATCTGTATGTAATGTTTGCTAAAATGGCCACTTGTAGTCTCCTTGGAAGCCTGTGAGTGAGAAGGTATTGGAAGAACATCACCAGCACACCAAATCAATTACTGCATCAAATGTTAGTTTATAGAAGTTTGCCATCTCTTGGTTGCAAGCTCTTTCGGGGCCACGCAGGGCCCCATTCATCAGGCTCTGACGAGTGAGCAAAAAGGTGCCACTGCAGGAGTGCAGTTAGGAGGCAGGGGCTGAATGTTGCTTAATTACTGGAAAGCTAAACTGGAAAAGTGAGAAGGTTCTTGTGGCAGGATGTGATCATACGGTTAGTCTCTTCTCTTCTCGTGTATCCTTGCTCACCTGAGGCCGAAACTTGTTTAAATTTTACCTTCATTTTTTTTCTTTTTCCTTCAGATATCAGAAAGCTGCAGAGGAATCCAGTCTAGAAAAGAAAAGACCTGTAAGTCATTTTGTCCACCTCTAGAAATGCGTTTTCATCTCATGCCATCTCCTATGCATGGACTTTAGTAAGCATTGTTTTGTATTTAACAGGGCCATATGATATCTTGTATAAGTCAGAGAAACTACCACCTATTCCCTAACTTCATCCCATACTTCTGGCTGCCATATACATGCATTTAAGTTTGGCTAGGCACGCACTTGCTAAAAAGTTCTCAACTAGTAAAGATACCGTCTAATCTTGGAAAAAAAAAAGTTTAGATAACATGGAGAGGATGCCATCATTAACCTCCAGTGGAGGGTGTGGGCACTTGAACCAATTCTAGGGTTACCATAAAAGCTTTCCTTCTGGGATTTTGTTCCTCTTTATGCAGATTCATAAACTTGGCTTGTTAGATTTTTTTTTTTGATTTTTTTTTTTTTTCATGACGTCATTTAGAGTCAGAGTTCACTTTCACAATAGTTCTATATTACCTGGTGCGGCTTTTGTTTTTATATGAAGTGAAATTAAATTCCTGGTAATATGCTGTACATACCGTTTCATTTAAATATACTGACAGATTAGCTAAACATGACACCAGGCTAAATGGTGCATAAGTAGGACCCCACAGTGGCTTAATGGTTAGCACTTATGCCTTGCAGTGCTGGCTGGGGTCCCCGGTTTGGTATTTTTCTCCCTGTGCTTGTGTGGGATCTCTGGTTTCAGTCCCACAATCTAAAGACCTGCTTAATTGACCCTAGTATGTGTGTGGGTATGCATGTGAGATGGGGACTTTAATTGTAAGCTGAGGGCAGGGACTGATGTGCATGTACAGTTTGTAAGGCGTGCATAAATTGTTGGCGCTAAAATTATAACCAATATAAAAATTAAGACATTTCTGGATGCAAAATGAAGTCTTTAAAAAGTAGGGTCCTTCTACCAATTTGCTGACCCTGTTTGTCTAAGCCTAAGATAATTTGCCTGTTAAGTTCAAGAAATAATTAGGTTCAACCTTATTCTCGCAAACATTTGCCATTTTGCTCCCCTCCCCTTCTGTGTGGTGTTACTGGTGAGGGTGAACACCCATAAATTTGGAAGGTAGTGACAGAAGAATTGTGCAGGTTATATGTATTGGACAAAGAGGTTACTACTCGTTGAGAACTGTATTCTGGGTTCATATGCCATAAGTGAGATTACTCTCAACCTGCAAGACCGTTCTTGGGTTATCTGGCCAGACTGACCCTAGATTGTGTACTTGGGTAATATGACCGTTTCTGTATTCTGTTGGTGCCTTGTAAACACTAACAATAATGGGCCTCTGTTGCTGGCTATTGGGCAAACTGGATTTAGATTTGATATTTCTAGCCAGTTTGGGCATGCATGAAGGTATGTTAAAAATGGACCTGTGCTGTTGACATGATTTATGGGTAGCCAAACTTTGGCCCTCCAGCTGTTGTGAAACTACAAATTCCATCAGGTAGCGATGCACCGATACTAGTATCAGTGCCGATACTGAGTATTTGGATGTGTACTCATACTTGCCCAAATCGGATTGCTTTCCTGATATTGACACTTCTGGTCAGAGGAAGATTTCCTCTGAGTGCAGTGTTGTGAAGGAACATGGAGTCAGCTTCCCAGAAAGCAGGGTGGAGGGTAGTGACTTGCCATGCAGCTTCCTTGATGGCCGGGAAGCTGGCATCCTGGCCAATCGGCATCGATCCAGCCAGTTGGCATGGAGCTGCTGCTTCCTGTGCAATAAAAAAGAAGCTAGGCGGCGGGTAATGACATGGTGTCTGGCTTTCTGTTTGCCTGGGAAGCTTGCTCCATGCTAGTGACAGTACCGGTATCAGCGAGTACCGAAATATAAATATCGGTACTAAATACCAAAACAACGATATCTGCATCCCTACCACGAGGCATTGTTAGACTCCTGACAACCACAGGTATGACTGAATTTGCAGTTTCACCACAGCTGGAAAGCCAAAGTTTGTCTACCAATCACTTATAGCAGGGGTGGGCAACTCTGACCCTCCAGCTGTGGTTTAACCGCAAATTCAAACATGCCTCTGGGAGTCATGCCTCTGGCTTTCATTCTTGCAATGCTTCATGGGACTTTTAGTTCCTCAACAGCTGAAGGGTCAGTTGCCCACCCCTGATTTAGAGGAAAATACACGGAAATGCACAATTTAAATACAGACCTTTTCCACTAAAATAAAACCACATACATGGCAATTCTTTTGTTACTTTTGAGTGGGTTACTGGTTGGTATGGGAAACTAGAAAGGTGTCCCTTCAGCATCAACCAGTCAAGATGTCCATACACAGTCCACCAATTCATTGTTCGATATATGCAATATAAGTGAAGTTTTACAGTGTGATGCAATCAATTAAAGCTAAACGAGTACATAGAGCACCGGTCTGAATTCCTGCAGCTCTGTGCTGAGTTTTTGTTGAGATCAGATTCCTTTTAGGACCACGTCATACTAGTGATTTTATAAAGCCTCCCGAATTCCTCATTAAAAAATGAATTTCAGTCAGAAGGTCTGTTACAGGAAATCTAGCGCTTTGTAGCTCAAGTCGTTGGGTGTTGACTTAGTGTTATGGCGAGCTTATTGATTACACCCCATGCTGCTGACTGTAGCGCACCAAAGATTTGTAGCTTATGTCCAACCAACGTCCTATTTATTTTAATTGGACACTCTCTCTCCCTGTGACAAAGGTTTACCCTGCAGGAAGTGAGGAGAATTTCGGCAACACAGGCAGAAATATGTATTTTAGTGAAATAGGTGAAGGGTGGAACCCCTTCTAGCTGTTTAATGTCCTGCGCTGCAGCTTATCCCTCACTTCCCTTTTTTTTGTTGCCATGACAGTAACTGAGGGAAATTTCTGCAGTGATGACAGCAGTTGAAAACCTGACGGGTCCTACCCCCCCTGGTGCTCAATCTGCGGCCCTTCGGCATTGTGTGGCCCTTACCTAGGTTTTCTGAGGGAAAAGGTTTCTTCACGCTGGCTTCTGGCAGTTAATTAGCTTGGTTTATTTCTTTAGTGTCTTGCTTTTTGTGCTGTCTGTTTTTTTTTTTTTTTTTTCTTTTCTCAGGGGGGATTGTCCTACCTGTGTTCTCTAGCAGTCATGTATTGGTCTATTGCTGTCTCCTAGAGCCTTGGTTCTCAACTGGTGGGTCGCGACCCTGTGTTCAGTGGGTCGCCACATGCCTTCTACTTTTCTAGATGAGATGCTCCTCTGCCTCCCCCTAGCCACAGCACTGTCAGTTCTCATGCCAAGCAAAATATGCTGCCGGTGCCCAGTGTTATCTTGAGGTGAGATGGGGGTATGACCGCAAGGGAGCTTCGTCCATACATGCATTGCTTGCAGATCCCTTGAGTGCCCTGTAGTGGTGCCTGGACTTGAGTGACGTCACATTCTGGCTCCCGGCACCTACAGGGCACACGAGGGAGCTGTACAAGCGGATGCACATATGGATGGAGTACTGTCACAGCTTCCCACACTGGACCCCACGCTGAGGATCCACTCCAGTTCTTGTAGGGAGGTAGGTAGACTGGGTGGATAAAAGAAAATTTGGGGGTGTGAGATTGTGTCTGTGGTGTTATGTATGTATGTATGTCAGTGTTTTTGAGGGCCTGTTCACACTTGTACTGTGCATTAAATGTAGGGCTGGTAATGATTTAAAATTTTCGTGTTCGATTAATCAATTTTTTTTGATCGATTTAATTATAACGCACATACAGATCAAACTGCGTTGGCCTATACACATACAGCACAGCAATGAAGTAATACAATTAACTAGTATCACACTAATCCAGCACGTTAATCTCACGTGCCTCAATATGGCCGCCGCTTGAGTGGGGCATCTTAGAATAATAACGTGCTGGATTAGTGTGATCCTAGTTCATTTTATTACTTCATTGCTGTGCTGTATGTGTATAGGCCAATGCCTTGGCTGGCGCTCATGCAGAAAGTTTCTTGGTCAAACTCACCGGCCCAAGTGGCTCAGTCGGCTAACAAGGGGGGAGGAGTCCGGTGACATCACGGACATCAACGTCACTGGACCCCCCCCCCCCCCCCTTTCCCTTCGTTAGCTGTCACGGACATCGACGTCACCAGACTCCTCCCCTTCCCTTAGCCGACGGAGCCACTTGGGGGAGGAGTCCGGTGACATAGATGTCCGTGACGTCACCGGATCGCCGACGGGAAGCCGGCGGAGAGGAGTGTTTTCATTAGCGATCAAAATAATTGTAATCGAGAAATTAATCTTTAATTTCCACAGCCCTAATTAAATGCGTAGTACCATGTCATTAACGCACAGTACCACGCAATCTCACCTACCGTGCATTCTGGTGTGGGAGGTGCTGCGTTGCCATTTCATTTTAATGGTACCACAAATGCACCTCCCAATCCACAGTTGGTACTCCCGCAACATGCTGTACCAAATGCGTGTGATCCATTGCAGTGCAAATTGGGTCGCGACTTAATGGCAGAGGACAAATGTGGGTCTTGAGGTTACAAAGGTTGAGAACCATTGTCTAGAGCAGTGGTGGCAAACCTTGGCACTCCAGCTGTGCCAAAACTACAAATCCCAAGATGCATCTGCCTCTGGGAGTTATGTCTGTGGCTGTCAGAGCCTTGCAATGCTTCATGGGACTTGTAGTTCCAAAACAGCTGGAGTGCCAAGGTTCGCCATCACTGTCCTAGAGCATGCCCCTCACCATCTTGTCTTGATTTGTATTGTGATTTGTAATGTCTTCCCTATATTGTAAAGCGCTGCGCAGACTGTTGGCGCTATATAAATCCTGTAATTGTCTGAGGTCTCACCATCCCCTATAGCAGAGTTAGGTGAACTTCAGCCCTCAAGCTGTGTTGAAAGCTACAAATTCCATGATGCACCTGCTTCGGAGTCGGGCCTGTCTGCCATAGTCTTGCAATGCATCATGGGATTTGTAGTTTCACTGCTGGAGGGCCAAAGTTTGCCTACCTCCTTCCCTACAGGGTGCCTGTAGTGTCTGGCTGTCCCCTATATTGTGCCTGCAGTCTCGGTCTGTCCCGTATAACAAGGAAGTGGCCGTCCATTTTTTGTGCGCCTCTGGCCGCCTCTATAGCCTTTATCCATCTATTTTATTTCTGTAGTCTGACAGCTTTCTGTAGCTTTTGTTGAGAATCTTTACACCATAAGTTGCACACTTTTTTACTATTTACTTTCAAATTCCTGTGAACTTTTTTTTATCTCCTCTGCTTGTGAATGGGTATGTAAAGTGATCAGAAATCTGCTTTGTACATAATTGATCATTAATATGAATATGCCCGCATTTTATTGTGACAATTCTCAACTCCTTCCGGAAGGCAGCCCATATGTGCTGCTCTTTGGTAATGTCAGGGGCCACGATTGACGCTCCCCTATATGAAGAATGTTGATTACCTTTTTGTTCCGATTCTTCCCTACTCTAGCCAAATTAAAAAAGTAAAAAGTTTGGCTGGACTTTTTAATGGTGTATATATAAAACTAAGTTCTAAGTCCTGGCTCTTGTTTTGCTTCTTTCATGCAGCTCATTTGTTTTATAAACTTTGTTAATCATTTGCTTTGTTGACTCATAACACATTTCTTAGAAACGGTATCTCTTCAGCTCGTCACTTCACACTTTTGCCTCCTTGAAAGTTAGAAAGATGAACTATAAATCCTGGGTATTTTCCAGCCTTTGGGTTGGGGCTTCCCATTGTGTCCCCATGGCGGTGGTTTCTGTCCGGGAATGAGACAAGCTGTAACCTGTAATGAAAGCTGGAGGGGAGGCTATTGTGTATTCACTCGGCAGGATCGCTGTCTGGTTAATGGCATGACATGATCATTCAGACTGTCTAGCACTCATGTAGACGGGAATGTGACATACATTAATGGTATGGCCAGTGGGGGGTATGAGCAAGAGGACAGTGCTGATCTGTAATCCTGTAAAGACTGATTGCCTTTAAAGTGAGATTCTTATCTTATAAGATAGGACTTCGAAACCTAATGAGATTTGCTTGAGGCATGAATGCCAACCTTCAATGATTAAAACAAAGCCACAAATTTGATTACTCAGTGATTCTTGATGCAATTTCCATCTTTGACTATGGTGGGTTGGATACAACCTTTTTGCTTTTTAATGGGAGGTCTCCGAGTGGTGAAAAGTACGCTTGCAGAAGTTTCACAACTACACCCATTGTGAACTGATTCAGAGATGGTGATTGGGGATAGTTTGGATATACCTTTTCTGTGCGTGTACTGCAAGTAGAAGTGCTTAAGCTGACCATACACCAATTTTCAACTGATTCCTGCTGAAATGGCCCTGCTGACACCACCCGGCTTAAGTCTATTTTTCAGTTGTCTTTTGTTGAAGTAGGCAGGTGGAAAATTGTCGGCCAAACAATGTCTGCCACCAATTGGTTGCAGCCGATGTTCTGGGTGTTTTGATAGCCGCAAGCAATGGCTGCCAGAATAAAATAGCCTGGCAGGGATTATTTGTCTATCTGTGCTCTTTAGCATGGATGGAGCAACTGGTTATATTGCTTTTGTTCAGCCTGTGGGGTGAATGAAAAATATTGTGTAGGGTCAGCTTTATTTTACTTGTGTATTTTAGGGCTTGTTCACACAATCTACTGACCAGATCCAGAGCAGACCATGTGTTTTTTTTGTTGTTGTTTAGTTCCAGAGCTTTTTCCAGAAAGTCCAGGCATGTCACGTGGTGGTTTTTCCCCCCTATTCTAGAAAGCAGAAATGCATGTAAATGCCCCAGAATGCATCAAATGCACAAACGCATCCAGAGCTGGTCTACCGATGGTGTGAACAAGCCCTTGGAGCCCTCACTGCCTGCTTGCAAATCGTCCACCTGTGGGTGCTTACAGAACAAATTATATGGCATGCACATCTATATAGTTAAGTCCCTTTCCAGCAACTGCTTTGTACATGAATAAAAGTGTGGCTGATGTTGTTGTTGTGGCATTACATGGGTTTTCTACAGATACAAGCTGTCTGTGTAAGGAGTCTACCATACAACCACTCCCCCAGCAGAATCCAAATTATCAGTGTGGGGGTTGAAGGCTTGGTCACACCAAATGCAGACCAGATCTGCATGAGTTTCTGCACACGCAGTGCAGTGTGTTTCGCCACGTTCAGGGCTGTTTTTGCAATAAAATGTTCTTATTTTTAAAAAGTTTAAAATGGGCTTTCTGTGCGTTCCAGTGTGTTTGCATGCGTTCCAGAGCAGGTAAAATAGGGCTTGCTGCATTTTTTGCATGCCCGAACTCAACGCTGCGGTGTGAACTAGAGCCCAAAATACGATTGGAATACATTGGACGCAGTTTTGATCCGGTCTAACTGCTCTGCTCCTGGAACGCGCTTGGTGTGAACTAGCCCTGAATGGTGAGACCTTTTTATTTACCCTCTGTCCAGACAGTTTCTAACGTGGATCTGGGATCTAAGATTTATTATCTGTTTACGGGATTTCTTTATAATCTTGTAAATGGTAAAGGCAATGTGTAGAAAATGACCACTTGCATGCTTCAGTAATTTGAATGTATGCTTATGACATCACATCGCCAGAATTCTGTAATAATCCAAAACATGTGTTTGTAGTCTGCCTTTTTCTCTGAGAAAGGACTGTTGGATCAAAATTGGTCTCTGTAAGTTAACTTTTATACATAATGGAAGGTGCCATCGCAGAACTCTTTTGGGAAGGATCATTCTCTGGCATTCATGTTTAGTTTCAATGCTTTTGGAGTTGGTGACCTTGAATTGGTAAAGTAGTAAGAAGGTCTGAAACTCCTATAATACATTTGTTCTCACCCCCCCAACCCCCCCGCTGGAATGTATGATGCGGGTATGCCAGGAGGCTGTGGGTAACTGCGACGCCCTTCTCACCAGGAAAGAATGATGGGAGAGCAGGGTGGATTCCCCCAAAATAGATAATTTTCAATCTAGAAGTCCAGTTATGGGAAATGTGGGGGGTGCAGGTAATATAACTAAGTGGGTAGGAAGGTGAAGGTCTGCTTTAAGTAGCCTGGTGTTTACAGGAAACCAACAATGGTAGCCCTCATGTTTCCTGACTTAAAGGCTGGCAGCTGTCCAGAAATACACTAAAATATTTTTTATATTCAACAGCGTCTAAATCTATGTCGCCACTAACCTTGATGCTCAACTGGTAATATTTGTGGCTTCCCAAATGGCAGGAATTGATCTGTCTCTAATGCTAACCTAGACAGGCCTTTCTTTTGCTCATCATTTTGTGCACATACCGTCCTTTTTATTGAAGTGTTGTGTATGACAGGCTGGTAGCACAAATGAGTCAAACCTTTTTTTTGTCTTCTACTGATATCAAAAATTAAATTTTGTTGGGCAAGTACCAATTTAAAGAGATGGATTTTAAAAATTGGTTTCCTTTTACACTAACTTACAGCATATGTTGAATAACCCAGCCACACACGGTGCACCACCCATGTTCATCTCTGCTATATCAGCAGCCATAAATAGGTAATTTTAGAAACTGGCCAGCCCTGTGGTTACAGGCATCACATAAGTAAAATTGGGTCTTCTTTACATGGCTGCCTTTAGCCATTGTGTAGTGTGTTTTTGTAACGTCGGTATGTTGCTCCTTGTACTGCGTCCCTTTTCTGATCTTTCACATATCGCTCACTGGTATCAGTCAGTGGGTTAACAAAGATGGCGCAGCTTCCTTCAGCATATGATAAGGTGAGAGACTTAGGATCCCAATATAGCTGCTAATCACTTCTAATTCTATAAAGCCTGGAAGCCTGTCACGGCAGCTGCAGTCATACTGTTGGTTCTTCCTGACACAGACCGCAGAAATGCAGCGACGGCAGGTACAATGTGTCCTATGATACTGGTTTTTGCCTCATCTTTCATATTTAATTTTTCATCTTTCACTGCCATCCATTCCATAAATGATCATTTAAAACTTCATTTGCATGATTCTTGTAAATTGAAGTAGATTACTTTCCTTGCCTTCTATACATTTTTTTCTTTAACTTTCAGTAGATGCGGCATCCGCATTTCATAGTCTTGTATCATAGGCCTACCTGTTTTTTTTAATTTAAAATTGCTTCTAATAAAAATCAGAATGTTTAATTTCCCCAAGGGATGTTATTTCCAGTGTCTACTCCCTTTTATGCATGTGAATCTGAGCTTCTTGATCTGGGAGCCATTTTGGTTTTGATCATTTTATTTTCTTTTTTAATTGGCATTAATTCCAGGCCTTTGTTTTTGTGCTGACTGCTTACATTTTTGCTTTTACAATGATATGTTTAATATTGTGGGGACGTGTTCCAGACGTGTCAGCAGGAATGAACAAGAGATCACTTTTTTTTTCTCCCCCTCTGCTTCTCCATCCTTGTTAAATGAGTCACTTTCTCATCATTTTCTACTTGTTCTTCCCATCTGTTTGCCCATATATGGATATCCTTTCTTTTTTTTTTCTTCAGCTTTCAAACTTCCTGCCCAATCTTTTCTCCGCCTCTTATCCCCCCTGGGCTAAATGCTTTTTACATGTGGCAAAGACCATAATTTCCTTAGGAGCTGCCTGGATGTGGATCTGCCTTTCTGTTCTTCAGGTTTATTTTTCTTTCCCATAGACAGGCGCTTCCTAACGTGCATTCATTTTTCTGTTCCTTTTAGAACATAGAGGCACTTCCTTCCAATTTTAACCGGGGCTCCCTAAGCGTGTTGAAGAAAAAGTGGGAGACTCCGGCTCCTGCCGCTCGGACAGAAGTCACGCGCAGTGGCAGCTTTGTGCTGAGGCAAAGGGTCAGCAGTACTAAGGCGGAAACTGCCCCTGCTAACCAGCCTGAAGGCAGCCCCACCAAGTTCCGCTCACCCCTGAAGGAACAAAGCAGCTTCCGATACCCCACTGCCACAGAGCTCCAGTCTAAGCCCACCGGGGTGCAAACCATGGAGCAAGACCTGGAGACTGCCAAGCTGGACACCCCGGAGCCTTCTCCAAAGATTGAAAAATACCATGTTCCATTGAACAGTCTGAAGATGATGTTTGAGAAAGGTGAAGCTGCCAATAATAAGGTAAGATGTGAGGATGGGGTCGGGGGCAAAGGCCACAAAACATTGGCTTAATTTTACAGACTAAGTCGTTGGATAAAGTTATACCTAAATCTTAAACGTGTATGTGGGGACACAAGAATCAGTGTGTAAATGGAAAAGTTGGATGTTTCTTCATTAGAGAAGATTGTAATGTGTACTGTGAGCTTAAGGTTTGAGGCCAGCTTTACAATCTGACTGTGCAATTTACTTTGCAATTAGCAAAACTCTGAAGTGAGGGGACCTACTTAATCTACACGTCCACTTTGTATACAATCAGACAGGCCCTTACACTACATAATTGTTGGTAGAGCTGAAGATTGTAATGTGTAGTGAGCTTTCCAATCTTTTGTTCCAATTGGCGTCTCCTACGTTGTGATTGTTCCAGATTTATATTTAGCTTGTAATTGGGATTGTACGATGCAGCTTAAATAGAAACCAGCATTTTGCTTTGTCCTGCCCTTGTGTCTTTTTGCTAGTTAGCATGTGTATTGGAAACAGCTGGCACAGCAAGCGGTTTCATGGTCAGGTTCAGCGACAAAGCACTGGTGAGCCCTTCACTCAGCAGTTGTACAAGACACTGCCAGAGTTTACCATGAGTTAACACAGCTGTGTGTCTGAGGCTGAGCAGGGAAACATGGAGCGTTCTCGAAGCATTTACAATGTATGATTCATCTTCCTATTCTATATACTGTAGTTCTATATAGTTTCTTGTAACTTGCATACTTGTCTCAACAATCGGGGCATTCTGTCTGCTGGTGAACTACAACTGCAAGCTTCTCCAAATCATAAATTGTTGAAGCATAGCAGCAAAAGACTGGTAGTGTGCCAGCTGCCCTGCCCTAGAGCATTGGTGGTCACCGTGCCAAGTAGACGGTCTCCTCCGTGACATCTAACTTCCACCTGGTGAGAAAACGGATGTGTCAGCAGTTTGGGAATGAATCAACATGCGTATGAGCCTCTTGTGAGCAGGAAGCAGCCCGTCTCTGAGCTCACTTTCTCCTTCCTATTGTATGTTTGCCACCTCCTCTAATGAACTCCAAGTGGAAAAGGTCAGGTGAAACTCTATCCTCCCAGCTGTATAGGGATAAAAGAAGTAAAATATTAAATGTATAATTTACTAGGTTTGAAGCACGCTTAAGACGGTTAACATTTATCAGGCTATATTGCATATATTGAATAAACCCAAAATAGAGGTCGGGAAGCTTTTGAATGGTAAACTGTCAAGCCATGAAGAGCTTAAGTATTCATGATGTCCATTGGCATTCGACTGTATGGCGGCCTGATGTTAAGGCTGAATTGGGCGGTGATCTTCTCCTCTATGGGTCATTCATATATGCTGCCTGACCTGGCTCATTGGGGAATTATTGATTGAACAAGTTATAAAAACTTTTTTAATAGCTTCCATGTCTCTCT